ATATATATATATATGTAACTGTAATATATTCTTCCATAAATACTTACCATGGTAGCAATGAACGCCATCTCCTAACCACCCATCTCGGCATACACATGTCGGAGTTGCGCCTTCAGTATCGCAGTAAGCGTTTACATTACACATGTCAGTGCACTCACCTAAAAATACATTTCCCGGCCTGTGTTTAGTAATATAATGATCATATTATGATATTTTAGACGTGTAAGAGCCATAACTATTTTTATTTCTGACAACGGGCCTCCCGATAATAGGAGAGTAACCAGTAAAAATAGACATTAACCGATGACTACAGAATGACTATAGTCACCAAAAGGAGGGGTATTTGAGTCGAAATATTCACTAGCCATTACATTAGTACCGAATTTCGGCTGGTTTGCGAGAACTAGCAGAAGTCACTGCTAAGTGGCTACGGACCAGGTCGTGTACTCAGTAGAGCTCTCACGAAAACGTTAATAGATTTACCTTTTATCCGAAAGTAAATATCTGAGATTCCAATATTCATTTCCGCTGCGTACGTGTCTAGGATAGAAATCTTGAAGTAGCGAACCGCTCTTGGATATATGAGATCTGCGATGAAGTGTCGTACGCTGTAATCACTGCTGGTAGGTAGAAGCATCTTTCCAATGTAAGTCCAGGACTCCGTTGGTAGCGTGTTAGCATAAAAGCTAACATTACGGATTCTACCTTCTGAGAATTTAATGCAAATAGCGTCTAAATATATCGGCGTTAGGACTTCGAACGCAATCTCCTCGTTTGCGCTGGAATTAGCAATCCACTTGGTCATGGGGTTGTTATCCATGGCATTTTTAATGCAGTGCACCGAGGCGGGACAATTGCTGCTTTGGTTTGCTCCGGCAACCTCGCCCTTGAATTCAGATGATGCACTCATGGGGATGGAGATGTCAGAGATCCATTGTGTCGCATCCACGCCTCAATAAAAAAAGAAAGTACGTGTTACACGTTGTGATGAAAACACACATGAAACATTAAAATAAGTTTATCGGATGCTAAACGATAATGCTGAGGACTTGGAATAGACAGCAGGAGAGGTTCCCGGAACCCTCGTCGATACTTCGACATATTTAGATGTATCTTAAAAGTAAAAACGGTTACCTTCATTTAAGATTATAATTCATTTCAGCACCATCATCATATAACCTTTTTAATTTTTAATTATATGTGCCCAGGATAACTTTGCTTAACGACGTTCAGATTGCAGTGTTAGCGCGGCAGCCACATATTATCAACATTAATCATACTCACGTTAGTAAGTTCTGTAGTGTGAAGTCTTCAATATTGTGTACATTGATTCATTTGAACACGTGCAATACGATGATAACAGGATTAAAAAACAAACAAATATGCTTTGTTTTAGCCTGTTTTACTCAATTCAGGTTATATGTTAATATAGTCGAGAGAATGGGAAGCATTACATTAGCCAGGATGAAAATCAATAAATCATGTTGGCTATATGGCGTTTTTAAATAAGCTTTGATATATAAAAATTATTGGAAATTATGTATTTTATTACATTATGCAATTAGAAACGACATGCGTAACCGTGGCAATTTCAAAATTAAAATTAGTAGATATTTAATAACAAGGCATTACTCACCAAAGCTGCCGCAGTAGGCGAATAGCACTATGACCAACTGAAAGGGAATTTTACCGTATTATGTATGATTAGCAAGATGAGAACACCATGCAATTAAGGCAGGAGTGCATAATATAGATTATTATCTAGATATAATTTATAATATGCATTCCTGATTAAAATGCATGACCTTTTTTTAGTCCGACTGTCAATCTACAAAATACGCATAGTAAAGAGTTGTGATACATCTCTAAATGAAGTTAACTAAACAGGTGGATGTATGAATGAATGGATGATACAATTGATGGACTGCGGCAGACAGACGGACGGACAGTTGGTTGGATGGATGGATGGTTGTATGGATGGATGGATGGATGGATGGATGGATGGATGGATGGATGGATGGATGGATGGATGGATGGATGGATGGATGGATGGATGGATGGATGGATGGATGGATGGATGGAT